TCTCAGCAAACTATCGCAAGGACAAAAAAACAAAAACAAAAACAAAAACCGCATGTTCTCACTCATGGGTGGGAACTGAACAATGAAAACACATGGACCCAGGGTGGGGGTCCATCACACACTGGGGCCTGTCGTGGAGTTGGGGGAGGCGGGGCGGGGTAGGGATGGCATTAGGAGATATAACTAATGTAAACGACGAGTTAATGGATGCAGCACACCAACATGGCACATGTATACATATGTAACAAACCTGCACGTTGTGCACATGTACCCTAGAACTTAAAGTATAATAAAGAAAACAAAAAAAGAAAGAAAGAAAAGAGCTTCAGGATCAAGAGTGCCCTGAAGTACAGCGGTCTGGATAACGCAAGTGTTGAATCAGATCTTTCCCTGCTGCCGTGTTCCCCAAATAATAGCAAGGGCCCTCTGTACAGATGCCAACTCCACTGACCCACCAGTATTTGAAAAGGATGCCATGGGGAGTTATTTCTGCTACTCTTTTAAAAAAATAATTCACTTATGAGATGGAAGTGGAAATTCACAGAGAATTGACAGGTATGGGTTATCTCTTGTAGGGCCTCAGAATAGAGCAATGCCAAGCACCCTTTGGGGGCCTGGTCTTGTGCTACTGACCTTACTGGTCGTACAGAAGGGCTGCTCCCATTGGCTCTTGGGTGGGATGGTGAATGTGCTAAACCAGGTTCACTGCACCTTCCCCTCACAAAGGAGTATATATGCCTGGAGTGGCTCCATTGCTAGGCTCCATTTCCAGCACCTACCAATTGGCACTGTGTATTTTTAAAAGAACAACATTGAGGCTCCTTGCCTCCTTTCAAAGAGAGAGAAAGTTTCTATTCAGTGTTCTAAATGCTATCTGCTTAGTTTGATAGGGTTGTAGTGACTATCATAGGTGTTTTATTGAAGTCCAGAATATCCCAGAAAATGTACATTCCTCTCTTTTCTTATTAAATGGTGCACAGGAAAAAAAAAATACTGCCAGAAAGACAATCTTTTTCTTCTCTCCCAGGGGAAAATCAGGTAAATAAATAATTATAAAAAATCAGAGGTTTGTGTGGCATGAAGAACGAATGAAATATTGATTGTGGAATGTGGAAGTGTGAATTAAGCTTTGAAACATAAAACTGCTGCAATAGTTTTGATGCGTTCCCCCCAAAACCTCATGTTCAAAACTGATCCCTATGTTGGAGATGGGGCCTAATGGGAGGTGTCTGTGTCATAGGCCTGGGTCCCTCATGAATGGCTTGGTGCCATCCTCACGGTAATGAGTGAGTTCTCCCTCTATGATTAATAGTTCCCATGAGAGCTGGCTGTTAAAAAGAGCATGGGCCGGGCACAGTGGCTCACGTCTGTAATCCCAGCACTTTGGGAGGCTGAGGTGGGCAGATCACGAGGTCAGGAGATCAAGACCATCCTGGCTAACACAGTGAAACCCTGTTTCTACTAAAAATACAAAAAAATTAGCCGGCTGTGGTGGTGGGCACCTGTAGTCCCAGCTACTCGGGAGGCTGAGGCAGGAGAATGGCGTGAACCCAGGAGGTGGAGCTTGCAGTGAGCCAAGATCGCACCACTGCACTTCAGCCTGGGTGACAAAGCGAGACTCCGTCTCAGAAAAACAAGAAAAAGAGCATGGCCCCTTCTCTCTCCCACTCTTGCTATGTGGTCTCTACACACACTGGCGCTCTTTCCTTTTCACTGTGAATGCAAGCAGCCTGAGGCCCTCACAAGATGCAGATACTGACAGTATGCTTCTTATACAAACTGCAGAACTGTGAGCCAAATAAACCCTTTTCTTTATAAATTACCCACCCTTGGGTATTCCTTTATATGGCAACAAACAGACTAAAACAACTTCTAAGAATGTTGAGGGCATTCTGATCTTGGTGAAAGTAAATTCACTTAAGTATCCTTTATTCAGAAACTGAACTTTGTTAAACTGAAGAAACTATTACTATAACTAAAGTTTTATTTTTATTGCAAAAAGTTCCTAGGGAGCTAAAAGAGTACCCATTTATTTCAATTGCACCATCCCAGACCAACTCTATTCATAATTTAGACAAAATTGGAAACCTAATACATAATACCCGGAAATTGTTGATTCTAAGATAATACACTGATGCATACAATGGAAACCAGAAATCATAAGCCTCATATTCTTTACCTCAAAGACACTGAGAAAATAACATTAAGCCAGACTGATGTAAAAGTTTCTTTTTGATGGAGTTCGAGAAAGTAAAAATTAGCTTATACTGAGAAAGCAAAATTCTGCCCTTCCACACCTCAAGCTAGAATAGACACAGATAAAACCCATTGAAAAGTTAACAGCAAACAATATTTCTTCTAAGGTCATTCTGCAGCTGTAAAATGTCATAATTACCCGTTTTGAGCAACTACTGCTTTCTTACTCATTATGACACCTCGTCTTTTAAAGTCATAGGCTGTCAGAAATTGTGTAGTCTGAAATCACATCAGAAAGAACGAAAGTGACTTTGATGCTGAGAAGCAGTTATCTGCAACTCAGATGCAGACTTTCACATGAGGGGTTTCTGAATATGTAATTTTACATTTAACTTTGTATTTTCCAAGGAAATAGGATCCCAGGTCCATTATGCAGTCTGGACATGGCATTGACTCTTTTATACAGAGCCTATTTTGCTTTAAGTCTATCACATCACTGATCTCACTGAAATTTCATCAGAATTCCCTCCTTCATCAAGATTATATGATAACCCAGTCAGGTGCCATGGCTCATGCTCGTAATCCCAGCATTTTGGGAGGCTGAGGTGGGCGGATCACTCGAGGTCAGGAGTTGGAAGACCAGCTTGGCCAACATGGTGAAACCCCGTCTATACTAAAAATACAAAAATTAGCCGGACATAGAGGTGGGTGCCTAGTCCCAGCTACTGGGAGGTTTTTAAAGGCTTCTTATTATCTCCTGTTCATCTTGAGGTTATGCTTATCTAGTTGTTTGTTGTTGGGAAATTAAGTTGTTCACCAAAAGTTACAACATGCACACTGGCACTATGATACTCACTGTCCATGACCTCACTGGTTTTAGTTTGTGACTTCACTAGCATGTAAGTGTCTTAATCTTACATATGTCAGAAAATATCAAGACTCTTTGTCTTGATGTGTTCCTTTTGGGTCAGATTATAACAATCATGCAATAAGAGTTCTTCATCAATCTTCTATAGTTTCTTTGTTAGACGTTTGCACTAAAAAACATGTACCTGTAAAATAAAAGACATTTAGCATTGAAAGTTCTTCTTTTAAAGGACTATGCTACAAACAAACAAACAAACAAACCACTAATTGAAAATGTCAGCCGGGCACAGTGGCTCATGTCTGTAACCCAGCACTTTGGGAGGCTGAGGCAGGCAGGTCACCTGAGGTCAGGAGTTCAAGACCAGCCTGGCCAACACGGTGAAACCCCATCTCTACTGAAAATACAAAAAGTAGCTGGGTGTGGTAGTAGGTGCCTGTAATCCCGGCTACTTGGGAGGCTGAGGCAGGAGAATTGCTTATACCTGGGAGGCAAAGGTTGCAGTGAGCCGAGATTGTGCCACTGCACTCCAGCCTGGGTGACAGAGTGAGACTTCATCTCAAGGAAAAAAAAAAAAAGAAAATGTCAATAATAGTTATAAGAAAATCAAGCAAATAAAAAACCAATTAAATTAAATTAATAACTTATTGATAGTTATCATCAAATCATTGGTTCTATTCAAAGTAAAATTAAACTAAGCTATGTTCAGTATGTATAAAAAAAAAGGATGCAGAATTTAGGGAAGAGCCAGACGGAATTAATCTTCTACCAGGGACTCCCTGTCAGAACAAAAACAAACCATACGAATTGTACACCATGCCAAAAAGTATGGCATTTTCCTAAGGTCCATGGTTCAAAGTCTAAAACTATGAATATTTCTACCTTAAGTTTTTAAGAATCTAAGTTATCATATGTTAAAAAAATTGAAAAATCATTTCAAAAATATTATGTATAAAACTGAATCTCAGAATGTATTTTCTCATAGAAGCAAAAGTAAAAACCACATTTTACATAAAACATCTCTGGAATAAAACCAACCTTCAAAGGATAATCTTAAAAAATTTAAAAACATAATTCTTCTAAAAGCATAGTGAATACTTGTCAAAGATTTACTTAAGTCATTAATGAGGGATCAGCAGCTAGACAAGACAAGTTTAAAGGAGATGCAAGAAACCGATATACAGATAGTGGAAAAAAGAATGCTGGAATAAGACTGCAAAATTAGACACAAACCTGATTAATGTCCTACAGGACAGTAATACCATAGCTTTGGGGATTATCTTTTATCCTAGCGAAAATAATTGCAACGTTTCAATCTTGTACAAGTTAATATCTTTTAGGATCTAAATATTAATTAATAGTAAATGGTAAGTCAAACAACATAACCCTCCCCTGCTATGTCAGATAACCCTTAGACAGGCTTGTTAATACAGTGGTCTAATATGACTCTGAAATGGCCTACATTTATCTTTTATTTATTTCTAAGTTTTGGATATTTTTCTCATCACAACAAATTTCTGATTTTTACTTTTTCTGGAAAAATCAAGTGGATGCAGTATTCACAAATAAGAAAGCCTTAATCAATAAAATGAAATAAAATATCTAAACCAATTTAAACTCACCTTAACACTATTTCCACCATGTTGATGTACTCTTGGTACTTTTTAATGGCACAGCATTGGGTCTTACGATGCAGCACAAGCATCAGACTATGTGATGATAGAATATTTTACCATTAGTAATCATGATGTGACTGTCTGGCTAGATTAGGGCTGCCACCTCTGAGAGAAATCTGTTAAATTGATGCCACCAGCCCTGGGGCTACCATACCAATCAAATAATCATTGTGAACTCGCAATTAACTGGTAACATTGAGAATCAGAGGTAGTAAAATAGGCATTTCCTCTGTATTCATTATATGTACAACGGTAGGTATTACCTTTACCAATTTTGTTTCTTCTGCATGAAGGTGAAGATCTTCATCTGGCTGGGTAATTTCAGGGCTCTGAAAGGATACAGGATAAGATCACTCAGTGATAGGCTGCCTATGACCTAGAGCAGAGCCTCAACGAGCACCACCAATCCACTGTGGATGCAGTGTATATGGGATGATCTCGTCTACTGTTTAACTTAGGGCTGAAATCAAAGTCCCATTGTAACATGCAATCATAATCTTTCACTTTGTTTGGGACAATGACAAACACATGTAAGATTGACAAAGATATAACTGCTTTTAACAAAGAACCTATCGAAACAAAAATAAACTTACAATAAAGGGCCTTCAGACACTACGTAAGTCTGCTTTTTCATATTGGGATGAAATCTATTTCTCAGAAAGTATTTATCTTGCTCAAGAATAATATTCAAAACCTACTATCTGTTTTCTACAATTGAAAAATCATTATAGTGTTTCGTGGGGGGATATGGCTCAGCAGTCACTCAGGAAATATTTCAGCAACCTCTCATAACATTGTTTCCTTCCAAAACTTAGAAACTGTATCTCCATGAGGGCCTTATTTATTTATTTATTTATTTATTTATTTATTTTTGAGACAGAGTCTCACTCTATCACTGCCCAGGCTGGAGTGCAGTGGGGCCATCTTGGCTCACTGCAACCTCTGTCTCCCAGGTTCAAGTGATTCTCCTGTCTCAGCCCCCTGAGTAGCTGGGACTACAGGCACGCACCACCATGCAGGCTAACTTTTTGTACTCTTTTTTGTAGAGACAGAGTTTCGCCATGTTGCCCAGGCTGGTCTTGAACTCCTGGGCTCAGATACTCTGCTGACCTCAGCCTCCCAAAGTGCTAAGGCATGAGCCACCACACCCAGCCCATGAAGGCCTGATTTTATAAATGAAATGATATTTTACTTTATCTTCTAGTAATAGTTATCCATTTCAGATTTTGTGCCATTTTAAAAAATTATGGATAATAAAACTACATATTTAAAGATCATTATGAAAAAATCTCAGACTAACTCTCCCTCAACAACTTCTTGCCTAAAAATGCACAAATATTCAGATTCCAGAAAATTAATGATGATGTGAATCTTCAATCTCTGATAGAGACGGGTTGATCCAGTGATACATGACTAGACAAATACGGTTGTACCCAGTGATCAAGGGCAACATTTGGTTTTATTTATCTTTTCAAGGGTAGATAAAAGATAAAGGGTAATCAAAAGATAAAAAGGTTATTTATCTTTTTCAAGGACTATTTACATGTCACATGTTCTGGCCACAAAGAATAAAAGACCAGAATCACAGGTTATTACAGATCATTACTGTAACAAATTATTTTTGTTGGTATTCTCTTTCTTCGGAATCTATATTAAAAAGTCACTGCTAAAGCACAGCTTTTATCACATTAATACTAATCCCAAGGACACTCAAACACACATACACATTTCAATGCCTTCAGGGAAACATTAAAAGATTCATCTCAAGTATCTAATTTCCAGCCCTATCTGTCACAACTTTCCAGCTTGAATCACAAGCTCACCCCCTGTTCTCTGCCTCTGAAGCCTTGCCCTTAAACCCCTTTCTCACCTGAACTATCTTCACAAATACTTTATGACAATTAAAATCCCATTTGTAATTCAATACCAGCTTAAATCTAGCTATCTTCATGAACTTTCTATGACCAGTTTAGCCCACACTATCGTCCCATTTCTTTCTTTTCATAGTACTCATCATCTTTATCATACTGATAAGCAACTATTATTCACCTAAATAATGTAATTATTACTTTTGTACATTTTACCTCAATGAAACTGTAAATTCCCTACAGCCAAGCACTGTCTTAAACATATTCTCTCAATATAATCTATTAAATCTGATCACTTCTTAATGGGTAGAAATCACTGACAGTGGCACAAGGAGAATGGCTCCTATAAATCAGGGCTGGGGTATGTGTTTGTGTACATATATTTTCCCCAAAAATTTCCTAAATAAAATTTTCCAATTGAAAAATATTCCACTCTGCTGTCCCATAAATAACTGAAATTTCCTGGGAACAATACAAATTTAATATCAAAATTAAAGATGCCTGTCATAACTAATGACAGCTCAGATATTTTCTGAAAGATCATGTGTCCTGATATTTGGTTAAGTAAGTATAGTGAATCCTCCCATAGTTTACTGCCTCTACTGTGAACTCAATTTTCATGGGTCTATTTAGTTGAGTTCTCAGAAGCGGTGTTGGGGAAGTAGAGAAGTCACAAGCCTTCGGGAAAAGTAAACATGCTCTCAAACCAAGAGAGTAGGTCAAAAACAGGGAATCCCAACTTACCAGAGGTCCAACTGAAAAAAACACAGCAGCCATAATCTCTGCCTCTGGCTTCCCCTCTCTGGAAAGAGTGGAGTCTTGCAGAGACATATCTAAGGAAGAGAAATAAGCCATGAAAACCAATCCTGCCTGGGGAATTTCAGACTTACCAAGTTGGAATCCTGACATAGAAGTGAGCATGGCCTCCCTAAGGAAGCACAAGAGTAACCCTTAAGATCAGTGAAGGACAAAGACCCTTGCTCCTGTAGAGCTCGAGATTTTAGCACTGTTAACTATAGTCACAACTAACAGGCTAGCCATTGTACAAGGAGGTTTTAAAATATTTTCTCAAGTTATTTTCACATCAACCTAATAGGAATAATATTCCCATTCCATAGATGAGGAAACTGAGTCTAGAAAAATTAAACTACCCAAGGCCATGCAAATACATGACTCCAAATCAATCTAATTCCAAAGCCCATACCTTTTCCACTGAATCAACATGCTGTGTGAAGTACAACAAAATAATACTTCAATCTTTCTTTGCCATAATTAGTCACTCATCTAACAATTACATATTCTAAGAATCTCCTTTTCTTGCCTTTCCCACGAAGAGCCAATTTCTGAATATTTTCAGAGATCTGTTTCGTGTAAAGAGAACACTACAACTTTAAAATTTAAATGATATTGGAAGTCTTGACTTACCCCCTCCCAATCTGATAGTCAAATAGATCTTTATCCTTTCTATATCAGGCAAACTTAAATAAAAAGGAAACAGGTATAATAATAATAATAATAATAGAAGAGACATGAAATTCAGTGCACAAAGCATTAAGCTGTAGTCTTTCTATGCTGAAAAAAGTATATACCTAAAAAAAGTTTTATACTATGGAGGAACAGGGTGACAGAGATCTTTTCCAGGGATGCTTGGGCACTGCTTTTCTACCTTTGGCTAATGGTATGTATGGCCTTGCTGAGGCTGAGTTTGGTTCAAGAACCAGGAGTGCCTGATGTAGGATATCAAACAGTACAGATTGTTAATATAAATTCTTCTAGGATGGTAATATTAGCCTCATGAATAAAAGGCCAGTGACATAGTAAGTATTGAGTTTTTGAGAAACTCTACCTTGTGCAAAAAGTGTTATAAGCAATTATATGGTCCTGCAGCTAGGGCCTTTGTTATGCTTAAACATGTGGAATCTGCTCCTTCCCTGAATGTGCACCTTGCTTCTCATAAGGTTCAGTAGCTTTGCTCAATAAACATAGCAGAACTCAATCTAACCTTACAGTGTCTAACAATCAGAAGCTCATCTGAAAAGGTATTTGAAGTACTTAACCATTATTCTTTGAAAAACAAATAATGCGCGGGTCAATAATAAGGAAGGATCATAAAAGAAAAAAAAAAAAAAAAAAATAGCCGAGGCCTTATCCAGCTATCAGGATAGAGAGAATGGTGAACCAGCAGATTGCAGTGAGCCGAGATTGCCCACTGCACTCCAGCCTGGGCGACAGAGCGAGACTCTGTCTCAAAAAAAAAAAAAAAAAAAAAAAAAAAACAAGAATATTAATATACAAAGCAAAGTTATCATGAATGTAAAGAATATCAGAGATACAAATATTAAATAATTAAATAGATATGGGTATACTGAAACTTATATTGTCAGATTAATGTACTAACTCAAGGAGGAGACCAGGGTTTAGTTAAATCAAGAAAACACATAAATATCTTGGCTGGGCCTGGTGGTTCACACCTGTCATCCCAGCACTTTGGAAGGTTGAGGCAGGCAGAGCACCTGAGGTCAGGAGTTCGAGACCAGCCTGGCTGACATGGTGAAACTCCGTCCCTACTAAAAAATACAAAACAATCAGCCAGGCGTGGTGGCGCACACCTGTAGTCCCAGCTACTCGGGAGGCTGAGGCACGAGAATTGCTTGAACTTGGGAGGTGGAGGTTGCTGTGAGCAGAGATTGCATCACTGCACTCCAGCCTGGGCGACACAGCGAGGCTCTGTCTCAAAAAAAAAAAAAAAGTGAGTATCTTAAAAATGTAGAGTGGTTTCTTTCATGACACTGGGGCTTTCTTAGGCAAAATGAAAAGGTTTTGGTGGAAGAGAAACAATGAGAAGGTGAGGGAGGAAAGCAGTGCAGTGTGGAGATAAAAGAGGTAAAGAAAGAATAGTCTGAGGGGATTCCTGTATTGAAGCCTTAAGGTAACCAACCAGTAAGTGGTTTTGTCTTATACCAGTGTTTCTCTAGATTTTTCTGTTATACAGCCTTTTGCAAATCTAATGAAAATTATGACTCCTCTCCCATTTTCTAATGAAAACACTCCATGTATAATTAGAGGGGTCTCAAATAACTAAGAACGCAAAAAACTCACTGGATATTCTTATTAAAAAGGAAATTCTTTGGCTCCATCCAAGATCAAAATCAGGATCTCCAGATGTGAGGCACAGAAATACACATCGCTTGGTGGCCGGGCACGGTGGCTCAAGCCTGTAATCCCAGAACTTTGGGAGGCCGAGATGGGCGGATCACGAGGTCAGGAGATCGAGACCATCTTGGCTAACACGGTGAAAACCTGTCTCTACTAAAATACCGGCGAGGCGGCGCCTGCACCAGCTACTCGGAGTGAGGCAGTAAAGGGTAAAAGCGGAGCTGCAGTGAGTCGAGATTCACTCAGCCTGGTAAAGACAAACCGTCCAAAAAAAAAAAAAAAAAAAAAGAAAAGAAATACACATCGCTTGAACAAGTACACCTCAAGAAATATTTAGTTAATATAATATGTTAACATGTTAATTATATAACATGTAATATGTTAAATTATATAATGTTTTAGTTTTAGTGTAGTATTTTAAGAAATACTGTCCTGATACACAATAGGGATTCTGAAGGGTGAAGGAGTGGGAGGTGGGTGGAGAATAAGGAATTACTTAATGGGTGTAATGTACATTATTCTGGGGATGGATACCCTGAAAGCCCTGATCCCACCACTACACAGTCTATGCATACCAGTAAACCTTAACCTTTTTGGGGGTATGGACCCATCTGAGAATCTGACCTTGTCCACAGAATAATGCACATGCATATATGATGTTGCATATTACTTCAGAGAGCTTGAAAACTGACTCTCCCTCCCAAGCCCATACACTGAACCCCAAGTTTTACAAGGTTGCAAAGAAAAAAAATGAGCCAAGAATATTGCACACCCCCAAGCCCCCGAACACTAAAGTAGACGTACAAAGAGCAACATACGGCATTTTCAATTCCTCAGGTCTAGAGTAACAGTTTTCTGCATCTTTAACATTTATCAAGAGTGAGCTGAGTCATTTAAAAAATACTTGTAAATATTAATAAACTCCGTGAGAATACTTCATGTAAATTATGCTAGTAACATATGTTTAACAAACAAACTGCAATAAACACCTTGTTTTATCTTAAAATCAGAATGAACAATATTTAACATTTAATATATTCAGCTTGATCTCAATTGTGTAAATACAATGCATAGAAAAAGACTGTGAGTAAGGCAAAACTCTACTGAGACCTCTGACACCTGGGGCTGTGATGCTTACCCTTCTTTCTGCTTTTCTGTACTTTCCAAGTAGACAAGAAGAAGTATCTACATATACATAGGAGTCTGGAATAGGAATAAAATCCCAGAGCGACTGGTCACAGCCCCAGGTTCTAACCGTGGTTTGGCTACTGTAGAACTGTGACTACAGGCAAGTCACTTGAGCACAATGAATCAGCTATTAGTACATGAGAGTAACCACATTATATATTTCTACTATCCCCTTTGTCATTATGCAGAAGATATCTAGGCCAATATTCCCCAGTTATAATTTCCCTAGATATTTACAAGCTCTGTCTTTCCAGCTATTGCAAAAGTATCCAGAGACTGAAGGAGAAACTTTACTTGTTTTGCTTCCTTGGCCAGTATAGTTATTTAGAAATAACGAAGGGTCCATGTTTTTGCTAAGAATCTCAGTGCCATGCACCAGTCCAGCATTTCCCAATCAATGCAATAACACCATTGTCATGACAGGGAGTGACAAGTGATTAAAAGGTGATTACAGTATTTGAAATGCTACATTTCAGGAAAAGCTGCCTCGGTTACTGAGTAGCGCTGGTCCCCCGATGTGAAACCTAGTTTCATCCCTGCCAGTTCAGAAGCCAGAGCCGGCATGGACATGCTCCTGCCAACCTCGCCCTCTTTCTCTAACTGCTCTCCTCTACCCACTCCGGGTATGCCCTCCTCAGGGCCAGCAAGGCGCGGGGCTGGGAAGACAGGAAAGGTCGGGTCAGGGGCCCGCCCGTCCTACTCGAATCCCAGCTCACGCCCCGCACCCGGTTCTTTTTAACCCCAGCGCCGCCAGGCCCGCCAGGGAGGAGGTTCCCGGGTTCGGACCCGGGTTAACAGGCCTCAGAGGGCACGGGGCCCGACCTATGAGGGGGGCCGGCTGGTGACTGAACCCACACTCGAGAAGGAGGCCCAGCCCCAGTCGCCTCTCAGGGGTGGGCGGGTCCGCTCAGGGTCTGGGGCTATAGAGGAACGGCCACGCCCCAGACGCCGTCGGGAGCCAAGCGCCAAGGGAGGGGCGGCGGGCAACCGAGGCCAGGCGCCCGGGACAACGAGTACCTGGCGGCAGAACTGAGGACAACTGAGGGCACTCGCAGAGCAGGGCGGGAACGCTTCCAGCAATGGCGGCGGTTCGGCGGGGCCGGCCTCCAGGCAGGGCATTGCGCCTGCGCAGCCGGAGCGTCGGAACTACAGTGCCCGGAATCCTCAGCGCCTGAGCACCCCCGCCCCTTTTGTCTGCGTTAGTGAAGGAATTGGCTCTTTCGGGGTGCGAAAAAATGCCAATTGGATATACTTCTGTTGAGAAGCCTTGACTATGTGTCAAAAGCAGTAGCACTAGAGATACAAATAATGACACAACCCTTGCCTTGGAACATTTAGGTGGGACGAAAGAAAGCCATTGAGAGAACAGATAGATGTGATCCAGACAAATATGTGAACAAGTGCTCGGAAACACTATTTCTGAACAATTCCCTTTATGACAATTTCCTCAGAGTTGGAAGAGATGGCAATTAATGACAACAATACCAAT